CMMYTYCMAAAAWTKKKTCTATTTRMCATCCACACTAAAACKACATACCACTGTTTTCAAAAATGATCATATTTGATCGTCGAGGCAATCAGTATATCAGCTGTATATATAAAAGATAAGAAGCAAACTGAACATACTCTGTCACAAGTTTAACCACTTTAGAATTTCTTTAGCTGATCTAAGATGATCAACTGTACGATGCCAACATGGAAACTTTGAAAGACTTGAAAAAATATAATGACTTCACTCACCTTTAGTGTTGGGGCTAAATGCGTTGAACTGTTTCCCAAAGTGAAAGTTAATTATTCTTTTTCATTTKCTACGCCATCTTCGATAAAAAACGGGAGGTATACGTATGGTGTGCCTTAACTTTACTGCTATCACAATCGACCGATTCCTTGCTCTTCACCTGCATCTAAGAACATATTACTGGCGTAAATTGGTTTGGTATTTCGCTATATGGTATTTTGTTGCCAAAATAATCAATACATCTGGMTTAGTTACTCACCGTAGAAATAGTAGAAATACCAACAACAACAAAAAACAACAAAATTTTAATACCAGTACTGAATACACATTACACATTAAGTTACAATTTAAGTGAATAGCAAATGAAGTTGAATAAATAGGAATATAATATAAGGTTTTCTTAATGTTGTGCCTAAAGGCTAAGTAAACTGGTAAGTTTTCTAGTTAGCCTTTAGTAATAAAGCTAAGGTTTACGTTTCTGTAGAAATGAAAAAGAGTATCACTCTACCAGGATTAACGTGATATTAAAAACTTCTTATTATCTTTGATGGATGTAAGTATAATTTCAGTTTTGATGGTTGCGGCCTAGATAGCGATTCCTTATTTTTCCGATTGTTTTGAACAGGGTGTGGATTTTCACTTTTAAGTGTCTTAAACAGAATCAGGATTTTAGACCGTTGTCGGTACGTACCTATCCAAAACAGGGCGGAGTACCTTCCCCGGGAACCTATGTCATCTCGTTGATTGTTATCAACGCTTAACTTGCAGCTCCCTTATGGCTTGTGTCTTGAACTTCTTGATCATTTTGTGTTTTTGTCAAGACGGCATCATTGCGAAAACCTTCGTATATTCCTATTCTTTGTTTAGCCATCGCTGACTTTGGTGTTAGTGCTGTGGTGCAGCCGTTTTATTGTGTTTGAAATATTTGCCATCATGAATTCGTATAAATCGCTTTTTGAATGTACAATCATGACCATAAGAATAGGAAGTACATGGGTATTAGTGGGAGCATCTATAATGACGATCACTGCCATTACTGTCGACTGTTACCTTTCTCTTTACTTCAAGATACCAAGAACTTGTTACAACCAAGCGGATGATTATTGTTGTGGTCGTAATTGTAATCGCAAGTTTGTTTGGGGTTTTCACTGGGGTGTTTGAAGTTGTCGGAATAATCTTTTTGTTTAGTGGAGCTATTATGGTGATGCCAGAACACAGTCCTTATGGCGATAATTTTTCGAGCCGTACGAAAACATTCAGGAAGCATCCATTCACAAGAGCAGTCAGTATGTGAAAGGCCTTGAACCTTTCACGATAAACAAGGGGCCGTTTGGCGTGCGCATGCGCCAGTCTGTTGAAAATTCATTGAAATTCATTAGTGATTCACTTAAAGCGAGAAATTACAACGACACGAAGGACAATTTCYAAAAATGTTTTTGGCTGTTTTTGACCCTGAAATGTTCTGTCATGACTCAAGAACACTCATAAATAGTGTAACCTACAACGAGGAAAAACACTGGCGGCGTTATTGGACTGATTGGGACCGTTTAAAATCTTATTTAASAAATGTTGATATTAATGACTTTGTGTTTACAATATTGAGGCTGCAGTGGTTTATATACGCAACTACTATTCCAGTTTTTGCTGAGTGCTGGTCATGATTCAACGCAGGTCATGAAGTAAATGGTAAATGTACACATGTAGTAATATAATTAGGCATCGTTTAGTAACATTGACCTCGAAATGTTCGAAAGACAGTTTCTTGAAGTGTACAATRTTTACGCTTAAATATTATTAACTGTTACATGAAATACTACTTTCCTTTTATATACCACCAGGACTAATTAGAATAAGGCTACCACTATCAAGACTTATGCTTTGCAAATGGTTTGATAATGTTTTCTTGTCTATGAAAAATGTGGAACGGTGTTGATTCAAACAAGCTCAACTCTTCAGCCAAAAGAATGCTAAATCTGTCGTGAGTGCTCAACAGCACGTAAGAATTTGCAGAATTAAGTTATCATAAATGTCTATGTCTAGTTCTATAGTTGTATCATTATAAGTTATGAAATAAACTATTGCAGTGCAATCGATTCACATCTTAGGAATTTATTATTGCTAAAGGTGTGCACAAAAATAATTCACTACATGCATTTTAACGGTAGAGCAAGGTGGCTTCGTGTTATAAATCTAGCCCGAGACTCACAGTAATTTATATAAAGTTTGAAAGATATTCGTGTGCATTGTAAATATATCTACTTGGTTTTGTTTGGAAAATGTGGAAGATAAGTAAAAACATCAATTATGTTCAGAATAGAAGCTTCCACAGCTACTACAATGTTATTCTACCCGTATTCTAGAGCCCATGGTCGTTATAACGCAGCGGTTACGCGCATGCTCATGCATAACGGTCTCTTGTTTTTTCACGATACAAGAAGACTGTCAACACAATGTATTATATCACGGGCCCCGGGGACGTTTGCAATTTGCTGCATTCCAGTTGCTATTGAAATACTGCATGTAAGTTCTATAAAAAAAACATAGCCGCTGCCATAGCCATATTCACTGCCTGCAGCGCACTGATATCGTAATAATTATCCAGATACAAGAGACCAGCACTGCTTTTGATATGAGAAAACAAACATGAAATCTTCAACGATAAAGCAAATTAAAATATGATTAAATATAGAATATTTGTAGTCAAACAAGAATTCTAAATTGTCGAAAGATATGATTTTGGTGACTTTTAACGATTAAAAAAAAAATATTGAAATTTCGTTTTCGGAATTATTCTTCTCACTATATAGTCTTTCATTTCCAAAAGAATATTGCAATTATCTTTTAAAGGGCTACTTGGACGAAAATTGCGAAATATTAGAAAATACTTGGAATTCAAATAGACCTATCCATATGGGTCTAATGATCATGAAGCAACAGATTTCAAGAAGATATTGATACAAATCCTTAATAATTTGGCAAAAAATGTTGGAGTAAATGACGTCATTTACTCCATCCTTTTGTTCTTCCATATTTTCAAGAAAAATTTTCCCGATGTGGGATAATTCCAAAACAAATATTTCCCCGCAATTGTTTTTAATAGATATAAATGAGTCATATATTCTTATTTCTTGAAGTTTTGAAATAAGTCCATTTTCATGCAAGTAGCACTTTAAGTATGAGCACTCTTTGATATTGCAATGCACTCTGTATACATGTAAACGTCATAATATGCCTAATTTATATATATTTATAATATTACTCATAAAATACTGAGCTAAACGCTTTGAATATGCTTTGTAAACTGCCTGATGAGTGTGGGTCAAACCATACGAAACAGCTCTGTAGCAATAAATCAATGGATCATATTCAAAGCGTTTAGCTCAATATTTTATGTATAAATTGCCAGTTGAGCACTATGAAAAATTATTCTTCAATATTAAGTTTGTGTAGTTATAATATTAGATACATAATTTATGCAAACGAATGTCAAAACATCTCCCTCGGCCACCCAAGTTTAGGCCTAGAACGTTCATTGGATGAACCATTATTGGTGACTACAAAGTAAATTAAGGAGATCTTAAATTTTCGTTTTTTGAACTGCCATATAACTTAATGAGAAGTCTTGATGCGTGAGCCAATTACGATTATGATAAAACAATAAGAATAACAAAAACATTTTGCATGACTATATTTGCCATACTGGTCTCTGTCCACATTGATTCGGAATTACCAGCCATGCGCAACGCCGTTGCGAGTCTAGTTGCTGGTTTAAAACATTAATTTTATTACAAATTTTCTTTTCATTTTTTTCTTTTTGCAATTGTTCGTTTCGACATGCAGATTAAAGAGAGATATAGACCATTATATATTTGACATCTGGGTGTTCAAAGCGTCAAAATACTCAGTAGGATGCACTTTAATCAAGAACGTAATTCAGTTTTTGTTTGCATAGGAGACTCATATCTAAAAACACTTAAACAACAACACTGGTCACTACTACCACTTCAATGGCTGATAAGGGCTTGAATGCTATTTTTAGAGACGCACCCTGCTATGATTTGACAATTTGCCGTGAAACTTTTGGGACAATTACCAAGACATGCGGTGTATGATTCAATCAAGAATATGTAGAACACATGATTGAATATCAGCCATATTGAAGACAAAGAAAAAGAAAAAATGATCAATATTCATAAAAAAGAAGGCATAAAAGCAAACAAAAAAAAATAGTTTTTACCACTTCAGAACTTTCTTGTCCGATAGGCGCGAAAGCACATTAAGAGACCATTCATCATCGTTTCTCAGTTTATGATTCAACCTACTGTTCAAAGCGATTCATTTTTACTATGAACAATTCTACGGAAGGAGAACACGGACATTTTGAAACACTTGGAACAGGTTATGCCATCTCTTTGATTGCTATCAACGCTTGTAGTTCCCTTGTGGCTTGTGTCTTGAATTTCTTGATTATTTTGACTTTTGTAAACACGACATCGATGCRAACACCTTCGTATATTCTTATTCTTTGTTTAGCCATCGCTGACTTTGGTGTTGGTGCTCTGCTTCAGCCGGTTAATTGCATGGAATTGTTTGCCAAAATGGAAGCATATGATTTTTCTACCTTATCTTTGATAAGAAAGGGGGGTATATGGATATTAGGGACTTTGTCTTTACTGACAATCACTGCCATCACCATCGACCGAYTCCTTGCTCTTCACTTGCATCTAAGATAYCAAGAACTTGTTACAACCAAACGAATGAGTATAGCTGTGGTCGTTATTGTTATTACAAGTTCATTTGGGGTCTTTCCTACATGGTATTTTGTTGCCAAAATAATMTATATATCTGGTTTAATTGCTCTCTTGCTACTGAATATATTCCTAATGACTACAATTTCTCTAGCCRTTAGAAAACATTCAGCAACCATCCATGCACAACRGCAATCATTACAGGAAAGCTTGAACTTTCCAATATACAAGAAGACTGTGACCGCAATGCATTGTATTATGGGGGCGTTTGCTGTGTGTTACATTCCCCTAGCTATTGTGATCATTATAGAGAACACCGTACATTACGAAGCACTATCGATTTATTATCGTCAATTATTAGATATTACAATATATCTAACTGACACTCTAATGTTGACAAATAGTGCTTTGAATCCAGTTATCTACTGCTGGAGAATACAAGACATGCGAAATGCTGTCATGCAGCTTTTTCGTAACATACGATGTCTTAAGAGSGAAGCCGCATGTTGCCACTGCGCATGTGACTGCGCAACTTGAGCAATGTAATAACTAACGCCTTTAATTTAAGTCGGAGCAATTCCAAGAAATTGATATATCTTCAATAGAATGTCTATGAATATCCTTTAATATCGGTACCATCGTGTAAAATAGTATTAGCACAATTATTCTGAGAAACAGAACAAGCTTGGCTAAGTATCTCTTGATGCGGGTTGCCTTTCACTTCTAATCAATCCAATAGGTTGATCAAAACAGAAGAAGAAAACAAAAGACAAAAAGTGTCATTGTTCTATAGCCAATCATCGTTCCAAGAGAGGTGAAGAACTACCTCCTGATGAAGGCTTCAAATTTCAATGAAAATTAGGGTTGTTATACTAATCTGATTACATAATGTGCTCTTTAAAACTGAAACTTCTGAATATCTTATAATACAGTTTACCAGTAAAATAGTTTCCACAAAACGATAGGAGGAAAATAACAGTAKAGCAACTTGACTTCTGACGTTATCAAATTAGCATAATTGTCAGTCTGCATCCAGTGACTTGGACAAGATAGTATTTACTCTATTTTTTGAATAAAGAATTAGTTTCATAAGCACTTAAAGCAATAGTGTTTTACCGAAGAGTGTGGAAAAAACTTAGGAGATAAGATGTTATCGTTAAAAAAGACAACAACAACTGATGAGTCATCTTCGTGTTAGCATGATGTCTTCGTGGAACATAAACCACGCCAAATAGAGTCTCTTTATGTATTAGTCATCCGCCATTRAATCTTGGAAAATTTATACCTTTTCAAAATGGAGGATATTCTCCACTTTTTCACTGATCTTTTTATTCAGCAAATACAACTCTTAATACTCAGGGAAAACGTTTTGAGGAAATTGATTGTAAGATTATAAAATATAAAGAATACGTACAGTGTCAAAATGTTCATCACGATGCGAAAATCTTTGTTTATAATTTTCTAGTGAAAAAAAAAAAAAAACACATAAAAGTATCCCTATCCTCATATCCTGACATCCATATGTTCTTCCACTGGGTCTGTATAAAGYCCTTGGAAATGTTCTACCTGAATGTACTCTGTTACTGATCTCTTAGAGCAACATGGCAGGCTTTACCAAGATGACAATTTAACTCACATGCTTAAAACAGCGGAAAGATTCACTTGCAGGGACATGCTGCTTCCATGTCTAAAAAAGACTTGTAGAATGCCATCAACGTTTGAGTTCTCGCCACGAAAGTCATATACTGCATCACTAGCTATGAAAAAAAGCTCCAGTTTGCAAGGTTTCCAGGCCAAACTACTGAAGGTACTAGTATCGAGTGCATGATTGGTTGAAAAGGGTGCCATTTGAAATTGCATTAAAAGTACTAAAGGGAGTTCAACCTCTTAATAACATTGTCTAAACATTGCGCACGTTATGCAGTTGAATTAGTAGTGCAATTTTGTGCAAACTRTATAACGGATATTTTGAATGCACTCACTCAATGGTTATTGATTTTTAGCCTGGTATCTAGAGTATTTTTAGCCTGGTATCTGACTAAAATCGTGTAAAATCGTGACTAAAAATTACCAATCAAATAGTGCTAAAAAAGCAATAGGTGGGCGYCAATGTTTAAGTTTTAGCTAATTGCATAAAAGTCAGAAATCGAATTTCAAGACACAAGAAAATCAAGCCCATAAATAAAAAGAACTGCAAATTTGAAGGCAATTGGTTAAATATTTCAAAATATTTCAAGAGATATCAAGCGCCGAATTTGCAAGATTGCAAGACTGCTTATTTTTTGAATTTTATATTTTGGATGTAAACAAACTACGTCATCTTACGCCCACCTATACTGTGTTGATTAGACAATGGAATAATAAAATTCAATGAAATACAGCACAGTTAACCCGGAAACGGGAATTAGTGAATTAATTACTAGAAAACAATTGGAATAAATTAATAAAAGTGAGTGACTGACTGACTGACTGACTGASTGAGTGACAGATTCTCCCCTTCCAATAACTCCTCGAGCTAAAAAGAAGGGAATTCGCATTATTCAGTACACTTTAGTTCTTTTTACAGCGCAACGCGTTAAAGTGTGACCACTGTTAATGTATTAGCATACTTTTTTCTTACTTAATATTAACTAATCACCATTGTAGGATTGTGTTATATCTTGTCTGGGATCAAGACGCTAATGGATAGATGACGAGACAGAAGTATGAATCATTACATAGATGCCACACTTCTATCACACGTTGCGCGGTAATTGTCTATCAGAACTATTTTATTTGTTTTGCACTCTAATTCTTATTTAACACTTATCTATTTATTTCAACTAGATCCTACTTGATTATTGGTGGTGTAAACGCTCAATAAATAATTTTCGTTTGTCATGAATATGACAGAAGAGCAAATTTTTCAAAACTACGAAGGAAATCAGAAATTAAAAAAACATAATGACCATTTGGACATTCTTCTTCTCAGTCACACAATAACTACTGATCCTTTTTAGTTGTCACAGCTTCGGCTGTGCGTCATATCTCCAGTAAGTGAATTTTCATTATAGTAGCAGCTGGTCATTTGTACATCAAATGGTAGAATCTGAGGCTAAAGACCGCTAAAAGATACTCCACATGTTGACAAACTTGAAAAATGTTCACAGAATAAAATATTAAGCTCTTCAGGATGTTTCAGTCTAAAGTAATTTAGTCGAGTCGTTTTTTAAGTCTTCATGATATGACTATTAAAATAATACGATTTTTTAAGTGTTTAAATTTGACAAACATACAGTACAGATGGACTACTAAGTTTCTGCATATTTTAATAAAAATGTCCTACCTGATATAGGACCTGATATGGACATCTTGAGCTTTTTGTTGTTTGTCACTCTATTTGTTTGTTATTCTATTTCAGAACACGTCAATTAGCTAATTTCGTTCACGTAAAAACGTGTTATAACTTCCATAGAAACAAAATGACGTAACTTCGTTTTAACCGAGTTACGCAATTTACATACAAGGTAATAGAAGTGGTCTGCTAAATTCTTCACCGTCAATTCTTAAACTTGTAGTCTGAYACATTAATCTTCCAAGCATCGGTTTAACTCCGTTATGTTTCAACATGAGCAATTCTACAATACCAACCGTTGACTATTATATTGAAGCAAATTATGCCATCCTGTTGATTGTTGTCAACGCTTGTAGCTCCATTGTGGCTTGCGTCTTGAACTTCATGATCATTTTGACTTTTGTAAAGACGCCATCAATGCGAACACCTTCGTATATTCTTATTCTTTGTTTAGCCATCGCTGACTTTGGTGTTGGCATTTTGGTGCAGCCGGTTAATTGCGTTGAATTGTTTGCGAGGATGAAAACATATAAATCACTTTTTGATATTAGCGATTCTATAAGAGGTGGAAGTTCATGGGTATTAGGGCCTTCGTCTTTGTTTACAATCACTGCCATAACCATCGACCGATTCCTTGCTCTTCACTTGCATTTAAGGTATCAAGAACTTGTTACAGCTAAGAGAATGTGTATAGTTGTGATAGGTGTTGCAACCATAAGTCCGTTTGGTATTTTCGCTGCATGGAATTATACTGCCAAAATAGTCTGGTCTTCTGTCTTAGTTGCTCTCTTGGTGCTAAGCATATTTTTGATGGTGAAAATTTCTCTAGCAGTAAGTAAACATTCGGCAAGCATCCATGCACAAGAACAATCAGTACAACARAGTGCAGTCCTCCAACGATACAAGAAAACTGCGAATACAATGTACTTTATTACTGGAATGTTTGTAGTGTGTTATATTCCCTTTACTATTGTGAATTTCACACGACATGCTGCATGGAACAAAGCTCCGCCTTTAATATATATTATCTTGCATGCGACTTACACACTTATGTTAACAAACAGTGCWTTGAATCCAGTTATCTACTGCTGGAGAATGAAAGACATGCGAAATKCTGTCGTGCAGCTGTTTCGAAACATTCGATGTCATAGTGAGCGTCAAACCTAAATCAATTTTTTCTCCCGAGCAAAAAAAAGTCGCTACCTCGATTTTGTATTTTGGACGAAAAGAACCATTATCGGTCTGGTGAAAACCAATGTCCTCATTTAATGGTGTAGGTAGAGTAGCAAGTGCTGRAACCCTTCCCCCTCCTGTAAATAAAACAGAAAGTCACATAAATTTCGGCAAGATTCGCGTATTTTCTGATTTTTGTTARGTTTCAATAGTGAAACATTGTCAGACTTTTTTTATATGCATGCTGAGTTTTTTCCATTAAAATTATGAGTTTGAGTTTGCAGACGGTCAATTATATAATGTGTGTGTATATACCAATATGATCAACTAGAAATTCATAACTTTAATTTTCTTCTCAGTAGAAGTATTGACTATTAAATAACACCTCTCAATCATATATTGAAGGCAATTGATAGAGAACATATTATATCATCAAATTAGCATAGGTATATATCATAAAAAGAGAATTAATCTATGAACACAATTACGTAGAATGTTTTTTTTCTTGTACTGAGTTTGATTATTCTGGTGACATTAAGTCAATAATCATTCAATCTGCATTTTTTGTCATTAATCATATTCTAAATAATTCATAATTTGCTATCAAGATTAGCATACGAGAAAAATATACGTCGAATAAACRCAGTGTTCAACAGATGTTGACCAGGTTTTTCAGTTCGTAGAGAGTTAATATATCAGTATCCCGGTGCTTTTTGAGATGTATTTGTTTGATCGAACTCAGTTGGAATCTGCATATAGTGCGTGAACCTATACCTATTTCAAGAAAGGTTGTGTCGAATCTCAATTGTCGAACGTCAATTGTACGACAATGTGGAGCGACGTCATTTAGTGCAGCAAAGCATGATGGTAGTTTTAGTTCTCACACTTATTCTTGGCGGTTTTCACTATACGTCACATCGGACATCTTGCAGAGGAACTTCAACAAAGGATTTCTTATTAGTACTATTGTTCATTCCTCCAACATGGGCACCGATCTTTTATCTTTTCAATCTCATGGGAATGGTTGAAGACGAGCAATTATATAATTGATATTATATGATTATATAATCTCCTCATGAGCCTTTTTTACGCTTTCTCGTACCTTGTACGATTCTGGTGGAACAGCCGCGATATCTATATACGGTTGACATGA